TGACATCCTCGAGGGTTTAGGGTTTAGGGTTTAGGGTTTAGGGTTTAGGGTTTAGGGTTTAGGGTTTAGGGTCTGGGGCGCCGGGCCCACGGGCTGCAGTATGAATGGGGCCTTGAGCCTTTTATGGCTCAAGAAAAGCTAAGGAAGCTTCAGAGCGCTGCAGCAGCAGCAGCAGCAGCAGCAGCAGCCGCAGCAGCAGCAGCAGCAGCAGCAGCAGCAAGGGGCCCCACAGCGGGGCGCTGCTGGTCTCCGCTGCCTTCCACAAGAAGGCGGGAGCCTCAGCAGCAGCAAATAAACCCCAAACGCCAAAAAGCCAAGAATGAATAGCAGCAAGCAGCAGCAGCAGCAGCAGCAGCTGCTGCTGCTGCTGCTGCAGCAGAGACATGGGTCTTCTTAGCGGGCTGCATGCGCGAGCTGCTTCTGCAGCAGCAGCAGCTGCAGCAGCAGCGGCAGTGGCTGCTGCTGCAGCTGCTGCTGCACACTTCGCGTTGACTTTCTGCTGTGTGTTTGCTGTTTCTTACACCTCGCGCGGCTGCTGCTGCTGCTGCTGCTGCTGCTGCAGCTGCTGCTGCAGCAAACTGGGCCCTGCCTGTCTCTGTCTCCCTCGTCTCGCCCTGTCTCTTCTTCCCTAAAGGGGGCCCCTGTACCCAACTGTACCCTAAAAGCCCGGGGGGCCCCCTGTGCTGCTTTGGGGGCCCCTGGGGGCCCCTCTTATGGCCTGCAATGGCTGCGCCGACGGGGGCCCCCGGGGCCCCCCAGGGGCCCCCAGCGCTGCAAGGGGGGCCCCCCTCGGCTGATCCTGCTGCTGCTGCTGCTGCTGCTGCTGCTGCTGCTGCTGCTGCTTCCCCTGCTGCAGCTGCAGCTCCTGCAGAGGCGGCCGGCGGTGCTGCTCCTGCTGCTGCAGCACCCGCTGCTGCAGCACCCGCTGCTGCGGCACCCGCTGCTGCGGCTCCTGCTGCTGCGTCTCCCGTTGCTGCTGCTGCTCCCGTTGCTGCTGCTGCTCCTGCTGCTAACGTGGGAGCTGCTGCAGACAGGCCCCCCGAGGCCTATCCTGCTGCTGCAGCGGGGGCCCCTCTAGGGGGGCCCCCTGCTGCCCTTTGTCCGCTGCCTGCAGCAGCAGCAGCACCAGCAGCACCAGCAGCAGCAGCAGCAGCAGCAGCAGCAGGCCCTTTGGGGGCCCCCTGCGGATCTGGGGGGCCCCCATACTCAGAGGCACTGGGGGCCCCAGTACCCTCTAGCTCAGTCTATACCCCTGTGGCTGTGGGGGCCCCCGCGGGGGCCCCGCACTTCTCGACCCCTCTGGGGGCCCCCCTAGGGGCCCCCATGGGGGCCCCCGTGGGGGTCCCTGTGGGGGGGGCCCCCCTAGGGGCCCCCATGGGGGCCCCCTATATGGTTTCTTCTTATGTGCCCTATGGGTACAGCTGGGGGGCCCCCGGGGGGCCCCCAGGGGCCCCCTATTGGCAGCACTATGCAGCAGCAGCAGCACCGTTTGCAGCAGCACAGATGTATGCTGCCCCGGTGGCGCCCTTCCCGCTGCAGCAGCAGCAGCAGCAGCAGCAGCCGCTGCAGCAGCAGCAGCAGCAGCCAGAGCTGCAGCCAGGGAGCTCTGTGAGTCGTCTGCGGGAGGCAGGGCTGGGGTGACAGCAGCAGCAGCAGCAGCAGCAGCAGCAGCAGCAGCGAGGCAGCACAGCCTGCACTGCAGCTGCAGCAGAGAGTCCAACCCTCCAAATTTCCCATGTATAACTGCTGCTGCTGCTGCTGCTGCTGCTGCTGCTGCTGCAGGTACCTTGGCACGTTCCTGCTGCTGCTGCTGCTGCTGCTCTGACCCGCGCGGGGGCCCTCGCGGTGTCTCCTGAGCAGCAGCGCAGCAGCGCCTCCGGCGTTATTAGTGAAAGTGAGGGTTTAGGGTTTAGGGTTTAGGGTTTAGGGTTTAGGGTTTAGGGTTTAGTTTTCGGGGCGTGGACCGTAGAGGCTGCTGCGAAGAGGCGCCGAAGGGTTCTCTGCTGCTCTCGCTGCCACTTACTGCTGCTGCTGCTGCTGTTGCTGCTGTTGCTGCTGCTGCTGCTGCTGCTGCTGCTGCTGCAGGGAGTCCCAACACGGCGTGGCAAATGCTGCGGCGGCTGCTGCTTGCTGCTGCAAGGCTGCTGCTGCCTTCAGCGGTCTTCTTTGCTGCAGTAGCTGCTGCTGTGCTTCTCTGGGTAAGCTGCAGCAGCTGCTGCTGCTGCTTTTGCTGCAGCTCCTGCTGCTGCTGTTCAGTCCAACTGTTTCTGTGTGTCCATAGTGCTGCAGTTTCTCTGCTGCTGCTGCTGCTGCTGCTGCTGCTGCTGCTGCTGCTGCAGGATCACTTCCGGTGCCGCAGAAGGAACCGCAGCAGCAGCAACAAAGAAGCTGCTTCTGCTGCTGCAGCAGAAGAGGGCACTCTTAAGGCCGCCGCTGCTGCACAGCAGCAAGGGCAGCTGCTGCAGCAGCAGCAAGACCTCACGTTGCAGCTGCAGCAGCAGACAGAGGCCATCCGCGCCCTCTCAGACACGCTGAACTCCCTGCTGCTGCGGCAGCAGCAGCAGCAGCAGCAGCAGCAGCAGCAGCAGCAAGAGCCTCTGCAGCAGCTCATGCTGCGCGATAGGTTGGCTGTGGTGCAGCCGCGGCTGGTAGAGGCCCCTGTTGAAGTCTCGCAGCAGCAGCAGCAGCAGCAGCAGCAGCAGCAGCAGCAGCAGCAGCAGCAAACTGCCGCTGCTGCTGTGCCTGTTGAGGAGCCTGCCGTGGCAGCCGCAGCAGCAGCAGCAGCAGCAAAATCGGCACCAGACGCAGCAGCACGAGACTCAGCAGCAGCAGCAGCAGCAGCTGGCGAGCTGCAGGATGCAGAGGCAGCACATGCGTCTTCTGCAGCAGCAACAGCTGCCGCACTGCAAGCAGCAGCAGACTCAGCAGCAGCAGCAGCAGCAGCAGAAAAAGCTGAGCTGCAGCAAGCTGTTGCTGAATTCGCTGCTGCTTGCACAGAGCGTTTGGGCACTGGTGCCCGAAAGCCGCTGGGAACTTTGTTGGTAAGCTGCTGCTGCTGCTGCTGCTTTGCTGCTGCTGCGCTGCTGCTGCAGCGCTGCTGCTGCTGCAGCGCTGCTGCAGCGCTGCTGCTGCTGCAGCGCTGCTGCAGCGCTGCTGCTGCTGCTGCTTCGTTGGCAGCTGCAGCGGTTGAGGTCGTAAAGTGCAGTTTGATGGCCGCAGGTGCTGTAGCGGCCACGGGCCTCACGCTTCCTCTCTGCTGCTGCTGCTGCTGCTGCTGCTGCTGCTGCTGCTGCTGCTGCAGCTGATGCTGAGGAATCTGCGCTCAGCAACAACGACGGAGGACCGCGTGCGCTACGGCCGCGTAAACCCCACAGCCCCGCGCTTTAAGGGTGAGACACGATTCCACACGATTCCACTCGATCCCATACGATCCCACTCGATCCCACTCGATCCCACACGATCCCACACGATCCCACTCAATCTAAACACGATCCCACACGATCCCACACGATCCCAACACGACCCCACACGATCCTAACACGATTCCACACGATCCCAGCGCGATCCCACACCCCCACAGGACCCAGCACTATCCCAACACGATCCCACACGATCCCAACTCGATCCCAGTCGATCCCAACACGATCCCAGTCGATCCCAACACGATCCCCCAGGAAGATAAGGCTTTCTTCTGTAATAGAGAATCCTTTTGTCTTGTGGGGTTTATTTTATTTTATTTTGTTTTTTATTTCATTTTCTTTAATTAATTTATCTGTCTTTCCATTTGTTTTATCTTTTTATTATTTAAAGAAGTTTATTTGGGGATTTATTTTGTTTCTCCAAGTATTCAATTTCTTTGATTTTATTTATTAAGTTTCTTTTAGGATTTAATTCTTTTTATTTTATTATTTAATTTGCTCTTTTAATATCGAATTTGTCTATTCTATTTATTTAACTGATTTCTTTATTATTTAATTATTTTAATTTATTTAATTAGTTTCCTCATTATTTAATTATTTTAATTTAATTTGTTAATTAGTTTCTTTACTATTTAATTATTTTAATTTATTTAATTAGTTTCTTTACTATATAATTACTTTAATTTAATCAATTAGTTGCTTTATTATTTAATTATTTTAATTTATTTAATTAGTTTCTTTATTATTTAATTATTTTATTTTAATTTATTTTATTTTATTTTTATTTTTATTTTCAGAAAGATTCGCCGACGTCAAGTCCGAGGCTTTTCTTCTGCTGTCTCGCCTGGGCTTCCGCGAGGACTCTGGACTCCTCTACGTAAACCCTAAACCCTAAACCCTAAACCCTAAGTTCTAAACCCTAAACCCTAAGTTCTAAACCCTAAACCCTAAACCCTAAACCCTCTTCTGAGCCAGAGCCGTGGGCCCTTGCCCGGCGGCCAAAGCCAGCGGCTCGCGCTGTTCGAATTTGAAATTAATTAATTTATTATTTTCCATTTCTTTTATTTATTTTGTTTTATTATTTTATTTTATTTATTTGATTCTTTATTTTATTATTTCATTTGTTTTATTATTTTATTTATTTTATTTATTTTATTTATTTATTTCAATTGTCTTCTGTAAATGCGGGCCCGCTGGGCGCAGCAAGTCTTTTTGAAAGAAATTAAAATAAATTAAACTTCGTAATTAAATAAATGCATGCAAAGAATGTTTGGAATTAAATAAAATAAATAAAAGTAAAGTTTTGCAATTAAATGCATGCATGCAGGGGGCTGCGGTGTACGTACAGCGCATCGCATGCTGCATGCAGGTGCATGCGTTTGCCTTTGGGGCTTTTTTGTTTCATTTTTTCCCTTTTTTTCCTTTTTCTTCTTTTTTTCTTTTTCTTTTTCTTTTTCTTTTTTCCTTTTTTGCCACTTCCATTTGCAAATGCATGCAGAAATTGGGTGTCTGTACACCTGGTTGGCGCATGCAGCGGAGCTGCAGAATTGAATTCCTTTCATTTTTTCTTTGGGGCTTTTTCTGCTTCTCTTTTTGCTTCCGGGGCCCCACAAAGCTGCTGCTGCTGCTGCTGCTGCTGATGCTGCTGCTGCTGCTGCATGCGTTTGAGGTGTACAGACGTTCCAGGGGGACCTTGCCAAGGTGGCTGAGTGCTGCAAGCTGCTGGAAGCAGCGTTTGCTGCTGCTGCTGCTGCACCTCCTGCTGCACCTGCTGCTGCAGCTCCTGCTGCTGCAGCAGCTGCTTCAGAAAACAAAGATGCTCAAGGGGGGCCCCAAGGGGGCCCCCAAGAGACCCCCCTTGCTGCCAGCGGTGCTGCTGCCAGCAGCAGCACATGGCCGTCGCTGCTGCGGGAGCAACGAAACCCTGCAGCAGCAGCAGCAGCAGCAGCAGCAGCAGCAGCAGCAACAGAAACAGCTGCTGCTGCTGCTGCAGAATCTGTGGCCCTAACGACCTCGCCTGAAACACTTGCTGATCCCTTAGATGAACAGAAGCTGAAGAAGCAAGAGCAGCAGCAGCAGCAGCAATTGCAGCAGCAGCAGCAGCAGCAGCAAGGACAGCAGCAGCAGCAGCAAGAGAATGAAAGTAACAGCGCTGCAAAGGCCGCGGCCTTGACTGAGGACGAGATGATCGAAGCAGCAGCAGCAGCAACAAAGGCAGCAGCAGCAGCTGCTGCTGCTGCTGCTGCTGAGCCCATTGCTTTCCCGCTCTTCGCAACACCCAGTGACCCGGCTTCTGATGCAGACTCCACACACACTGCAGCAGCAGCAGCAGCAGCAGCTGCTGCTGCTGCTGCTGCTGCTGAAGAAGAAGAACCTCATGAGACCCAAGATGCTGCCGATCGCAGCAGCGACGCCGATGAAGGGAACGGAGGCAGCAGCAGCGCTGCAGCACCGAGCAGCAGCAGCAGCAACAGCAGCAGCAGCTCCTGCGGAAGCGGCAGCATTGCAAACGGCAGCAGCAGCAATAAGGGCGACTGCAGCAGCAGCAGCAACAGCAGCAACAGCAGCAGCAACTATGGAGGGGTAAGAAGAAGCTCCTGCTGCGATGTCCAGAGACGGGGTGCCCCCTGGGGCCCCGTGGCTCCTAGGCGCAGCAGCTTCATTCCCGGTGCTGCTGCTGCTGCTGGCAGCAGCAGCAGCAGCAGCCGCAGCAGCAGCAGCAGCAGCAGCCCACTGGTCGCCCTCCGACCTCCGTCGCCTGCAGCATACCTGCAGCAGCAGCAGCAGCAGCAGCAGGCGCGAACATCACCAGCAGACGTGCCGGAGTCGCATTGTCTGTACAGCTGCAGCAGCAGCAGCAGCAGCAGCAGCAGCAGCAGCCTGCAGCAGCACAGGGGGGGCCCTCCTGTGCCCCCCGAAATATCCCAGGGGCCCTTTAGGGCCCCCTGGGGCCCCTCAAGGGCCCTGCAAGTATTGCCTTAGTTTAGAAGCAACACAACTGCAGCAGGAAATCAAAACTCATACCATATTGCTGCTGCTGCTGCTGTTGCTGCTGCTGCTGTTGGTGTTGCTGCTGCTGTTGGTATTGCTGCTGCCGTTGCTGCTGCTGCTGCTGCTGCCGTTGCTGCTGCTGCTGCTGCTGCCGTTGCTGCTGCTGCTGCTGCTGCGCGATTTGGAGACATACAAAGAGAGTAGCGTAGCGGGAGGTGCCAAGTAAAGAAGCAAAACAGAAAAGATTAAAAAGAAATAAAAATGAAAAAATTAAAAATTAAAAATTAAAAAATTAAAAAAAGAAAAGACAAAAAAAGAAAAAAGAAAGGCCTAGGGCCTGCGGTCTAGGCTTTTGGCTCTGCAGGTCGTGCTGCTGCTGCTGCTGCTGCTGCTGCTGCTGCTGCTGCTGCTGCTCAAGTTTGTTTCTGGTTGCAGCAGCAGCTGCTGCTGCAGGACGCAGCAGAAGCTGCAGGAGTCGCCTGGAAACGACTCTTGTGCGCATTTGCTGCTGCTGCTGCTGCTGCTGCTGCTGCTGCAGCAGGCCGGCCTTTGGCAGCAAGAGAAAAAGAGAACTAGAATGAGAAAAAAAGAGAAATAAAAACAGAAAATATTTTTTAAATCCGAAAGGAGATTAGAGAGCCCCAAGGCAGCACCTCAGGAAAAAGGAGTAAATGAAAAACATAAAAAGAAGAAGCAGCAGCGGCTTTCGTTTGCTGCTGCTGCAGCAGCAGCAGCAGCAGCACGTGCAGCAGGTGGAATTCACCTGCTTAAAGCAGAAGCAGGGTTCTTCTCGCTGCAGCAGCAGCAGCAGGGCACGGCGCTGCTGCTGCTGCCGCAGCAGCAGCAAATAGGAGTCCCATCTTGGCGGCAGCAAGCGACTTCTTGCTGCAGTAGCAGCAGCAGAACCAGCCAATACAATTCTCCTGCCAGCAGCAGCAACAGCAACAGCAGCAGCAGCAGCAGCAGCAGCAGCAGCAGCAAAACAATCATCCGCCGTAGTCTAGGTGGTTAGGATACGCGGCTCTCACCCGCGCGACCCGGGTTCAAGTCCCGGCGGCGGAACTTTTGCTGCTGCATTTTGCTGCTGCTGCTGCTGCTGCCGCTGCTGCTGCTGCTGCTGCTGCTGCCGTTGCAGTTTCCTCTACCGCTGTTAGTGCTGCTGCCGTTGTTGCTGCTGCTCCTGTTGCTGATGCTGTTGCTGCTCCTGTTGCGGCCGCTGCAGGAGCTACAACTGCTGCTATAGTTGTTGCTGCTGCATCTGCTGTTGCTGCTGTGTGCTGCTAATGCTGTTGCTGCTGCTGCTGCTGCTGTTGCTGCTGCTGCTGCTGCTGCTGCTGCTGCAGGAGGACGGAACAACTTGGTGAAGTGCAGCTTTGCTGGCTGGACCGGGTCACTGCGGCCTAAACCCTAGACCCTAAACCCTAAACCCTAAACCCTAAACCCTAAACCCTCAGCCCTGTAGCCTAAAACCTTCCCTTTGCCTCAAACGGCGAAACCAAAACCCTAGACCCTAAAGGGTAGATAGAGTTCAAGTTTTTACCCGCAGTCTAATCGCTAAACCCTAAACCCTAAACCCTAAACCCTAAACCCTAATTTTCAGTGCCTAAACCCTCAAGAGATGGAGGTACCAGGGAAAAATAAACCTTCCATTCGGCCTTCTCAGGTCCATCCAAAGTATTTACAGTTTACAATTCAGGGTTTAGGGTTTAGCGTTTAGGGTTTAGGGTTTAGGGTTTAGGGTTTAGGGTTTCCATATGTGTCTCGAATAGATTTGTTTTGCCGATTGTCTTTTCTTTTGTTTCTTTGTCTCTCCTTTTCGCCTTATTGTTTTATTTCTTTTTTTCTTTTCTTTTATTATTTTATTTCTTTTCTTCTTCTCTCTTTTTATGTTCCCTTTATCTCTTTTGCTGCTGCTTCTCAAACCCTGAATTGTGGTTTTTGTCTCAGTCTATTTCCCCTTTTTTTTCTCAACAGAAAGGAATTAACTAGCAGACAACAAACGCCAAAAAAAAGCAAACAAATAACAAATCTGCTGCAACAGCAACACAAACCCTTGGACCCACAAAGGGGGCCCCTTAGGGGCCCCCTAAGGGCCCCCGAGGGGCCCCCTAAGGCCCCGTAGGGCCCCCTGGGGGCCCCTAGGGGGCCCCCCGAGGGATTCGTAGGGGCCCCCGGGGGGTCTCGTAGGGGCCTCCAGAGGCCCTTGAGGGCCCCTTGGAGGCACCTTGGGGGCCTCTTGGGGGCCCCTTGGGGGCCCCTTGGGGGCCCCTTGGGGGCCCCTTGGCCTTGGGAGCCCCTGGGGGCCCCTGGGGGCTCCTCCTGAGGGGCCCCCAAATGGTGAGGCTGCTTAAGACAGAGCAGGGGGTGCTGTTGCTCTTTTGGTCTCATTTTTTCTCTTTTTAATTTATTTTTGTTTCTTTTTTGTTTTTTTTTGTCTCATTTTGCTTCATTTTGTCTCTTTTATTTCTTATTTGTCTTTTTTTGTTTCTTTTTATGTCTTTTTTGCTTCTTTTTTGTCCCATTTTTGCCCTTTTGGGCCCCTCTTGTGGCAGCCACTTGCTTTTAAGGGTTTATATAATCACTTTAGGGCCTAAATAACCTCCCTAGGGTTTATATAACCGCCCGAGGGTTTATCTGCTTCTAGGGTTTGGAGAGCCGCCCTAGGGTTTGCATTAGGGTTTAGCAAACAGTCTGAGGGTTTAGAAAATAGTCTGAGGGTTTAGTAAATAGTCTGAGGGTTTAGAAAATAGTCTGAGGGTTTAGTAAATAGTCTGAGGGTTTAGAAAATAGTCTGAGGGTTTAGGAAATAGTCTGAGGGTTTAGGAAATAGTCTGAGGGTTTAGGAAATAGTCTGAGGGTTTAGGAAATAGTCTGAGGGTTTGGGAAAGATCTAATTGAGGACTTGAGATAATGAAACGTGGAAAATTAGAGTTGTTGTGGCAGCAGAGGCAAAAATAAAAAGTTGGAAATAAATGAAATAAATTGAATTAAATATTTGAATTAAATATTTGAATTTTAGGAAATAGTCTGAGGGTTTGGGAAAGATCTAATTGAGGACTTGAGATAATGAAACGTGGAAAATTAGAGTTGTTGTGGCAGCAGAGGCAAAAATAAAAAGTTGGAAATAAATGAAATAAATTGAATTAAATATTTGAATTAAATATTTGAATTAAATTTATTAATTGATGCTCAGCTGCGCCTATTCAAAGCCTTGTGCAGCAAGTTGAAAAGCCCCAAAAAGCGCTGCATGCAAAAGCTCGAAAAATAGAAAAAAATAATCAAAAAACCAAACAAGTGTTTCATTTAAAAACTAAAAGAAAGAAACAACAGCAATCTAACTTGTACAAATTTGAGGCCATATGAACATATAAACACTTCAATAGGCATTTCTTCGGGGCCTTCGCCGCTGCAGCGAGGCCTCCGCAGCAACAAACCCACCGCTTCTGCAGCAGCAGCGCCTGCGCGCGCCTTTGCGGGACTCGGGGCAAATGCATGCTTGCAAAAGGCGTGTGACTGAAATGTCGAAGACTTTGCACTTTGTAGACTTTGCATTAAGTGCATTAAATGCATTTAATGCATTTAATGCATTTAATGCATTTAATGCATCCATTAACTGCTATTAATGCATTAAATGCATATAATGCATTAAATGCTATTAATGCATTAAATGCATTAATTGCATTAAATGCATTAAATGCATTAAGAACACTTAATGCATTAATTGCATTAAATGCATTAAATGCATTATATGCATTTAATGCATTTAATGCAAAAAGGCCCACTTTTCGAAACTAAACTGCAAAGGCCGCAGAAAGAAAGAAATGTATAAAGGAAGTCCACTGCGGCGGCCGCAGCCGTGGGGCGCGCATGCATGCATGCATGCACGCCTGCATGCATGCATGCATGCATGCACGCACGCATGCATGCATGCATGCATGCACGCATGCATGCACGCATGCATGCAGGGAGGTGTAGGTACACCCCGGAGGCGCATGCGTCGTGGGGGCGTGCGGACATGACCAGAGTTGGATTTAATTGAAATTGAATTAAATTAAATACATTAATTTAATTAATTTGATTAATTAGATTAATATAATGGATTTTAGCGGTTCCAAATGGCCTCGAAGCTGTCGAGGGAGTCTTTGCTGCCGGAGAGCAGCAGGAACTCCGCGAAAGCAGCAAAAGCCTCCGACAAGAAAACTCTGCTGCTGCTGAGAGCCACAGTGGCTCGGACTCCGTGGCTGGGCTTTGGGTACATAGTGAAGGAAAGGGTAATGGGCTTTGTGACATTAACAGCAGCAGCGCCTTGCCAGGCCCAGCGGCGGCGCTGCTGCTGCTGCTGCTGCTGCTGCTGCTGCTGCTGCTGCTGCTGCCGCTGCTGCAGCAGCTGCGAGAGCCTGCGCGCGCGGCCCGCAGCCGTGGGCTGCCGCAGCAAGTCCCGCCAGACCTGCTCGGCCTGGCCCTTGGGAATGTCCAGCAAAGAAGCAATGGAGCAAATTTGTCTTAGCCGAATAATGCGTTTTGCGAGCAACTTGCGGGCCTTGGAGGCCCCCGAAATGACCCCCGGGGAGGCCTTCAGGGCCTCCAAGACCGCCTCCAGGAAGTGGTGCACTGGACCAATGGTCTTGACCACTCGCTCGACGGCTGTGTGCAGCAGCAGCTGCTTGACGGAGCCGAAGGGGCCCGGGCCGGTGTTCTGGAGCTGTACGTACACGCGGCGGCCGCGGGCCGCGGCGGCTGTGGGGCGGGGATCGGGATCGGGATCGGGATCGGGATCGCTGCTCCAGCGGCCCTGCGGGGTCAGCCAAGACCCCACAACTTCGTACCCCGCGAAGCAGTCCAGAAAGAGCAGCAGCGCAGCAGCACTGCCTTGGGCCAGAAAGTCTGCTGCTCCCACGCGAATGGGGGCTTTGAAGCCGTTTATTAAGGACAAAGAAACCCCCGGAGAAACCCTCATTTGGCGGCTCTTCAAGTCAAACCGCGGATACCCAAAACCCTTAATTGGCGAGTTCTTCGCCTCTGGGGTTATTCCTTTTTCCTTCAAAACCCTGCACTCTCCCCGGGCCTTTTGCTGCGCCTTTCGCAGCAGCGCAGCAAACCACTCTGCGGCTCCCAGCCGCTTGAACACGCTCTTCGCCGAGGGGCCCTTGGGGGGCCCCCG